TTTGAACATAAATCAGGCCGTTAGTTTTTTCGTTTGAATTGGTTTACATTTGTCATGCTAACTATACGGTATGGGTTTTGCTCATTGTCGAAGGCCTTACGGTGACCTATAGTTGTTAACTTCTATGTCATTTGTTCTCTGGTGGAGTGTTGTCTCATAGACAATTATACCATATCTTCTTATTTTTATAAAGTCCCCATAATGAGTATATAGTTAACATAAAATTAAATACTATAATAAAACTTGCAACCTTTATTTGAGCTATAACCTCTATTCACGTCCATAGCTCATTCTAAAGACGACATGTATTGATTGTATCACTCTCTATAGACGCTTCAAAATGGTCATTACAGACGTCCGGAGTTGTTGTTCATAGAAACCCCGATTTTCAAGTGTCTTCAACGTCCAGTGACGATTATACCAAGACAAGAAAACATTATTGAATTTGTTATGATAAAAATGAACACTGCCTTGTATTAAAGACGGACACTCTGAACTGGGATTTTTCATGCAGTATTCACCAAGAAGTATAAGGAGACATGTTACCCTATTCGGGCACCGGATCGAACGGTCTTTCATTGGTCTCAGTTTAAATGTGCTTCGTGGAGAAGCAGCACATACAAATTTTCAAGTTTTTGGTTTGACCCTGCCTGAGATCAAACTTACAACTCCTCACATTTGAAATATTATGGCCAATTATTTTGTTAGTAACGTGCAATTCATTATACCCATATCCGTGTAGGATATTTCAGCATACAGATAGGGATAGTAAACTGCACATTGCTAGAAAACAAAGAAATATTGATGCCAACGTTAAAAATGTAATACAAAAGGACAGAAAAAAACAAAAAAAGATAAACATTTTGTTTTAACAAATTTTAATCGCCATAAACTAGTTATGGAGGACAAGTTTGTGGCTACGCGACGACAGATGGAAAAATATAGTTATCCGTGGTCATCTATAATACAGATAATCCTTACGGTCATACATATATATCTTGGATCTGGAATTGATGTAACACTCGTATTTTCCCTTTTTCTTGACTTTTTGGATTGCTTTTTTGGACTCATATGGAAATTTCACAGTTCTTTTCACATAAATCACTTAAATTGTCCAATTTGAATTTTAATCCATTTTTTACTTAAATTTTCAAGAGAGAGAGAAAAGGTCGACATTTTTTTTTCACTCATGCGCATAACGAGCTTGTACTAATCCGTTTAAAAGTTACAAGTCAGATTTGCACTTCTGGGATTTTGAACGCATGTTGGTTTTTTTTTTTAAATATGATGTTTTCACAGGTATCGACGTTTTATTTATTGCTGCAGTAGAAGGTTTATTTCCATGCACAGAAACAGAACTGGTTCATATCGGCTCCAGATTAGTAAGATTGGTTTGTTGTGTTGATGGATCTTGGTCATGATGTGTAGGATAGACTGAAACTGTTTTTCTCAATTTTGACGAGATCACATGTACACTGTATTGGTCCTGTGTCATGACAGCCCCTGATTGAGTGTATGTCGTCAATGCCTCAAATTGTTCCATGGTATCTTTTTATGTATAGAGACTTCTTACTATAACAAGGCACATGTAAGCGAACGCCTTATAGTGTTTGAATTGTATACCTTAAATTTTTTTGATAATTGATAGTTGTGTGATGTCGTCATTTATGTTTATAGTGTCTGAATATCGAGCCGACCCTTTTTTTAAGATACCCTGTACAAAGGGGGTGGGAGTGTCTATTTACATTATTTATTCTTTTAACACGTCTTAATAGTGATGGAACATTGACGTACAAAATCGATTATCATGCGCATGAAACGTGTTTCTGGTGAGAAAAAAAACATCAGCACATATTCTTGACACAAAAAAATATAGCGTGCGAATAAGTCAATGCAGACAATCCCAAATCCTCTACGGTCGATCCATTTTGGGTATGTATTTGTAAACCTGCACATAACTTATAAGTTAAACTCTAAATGCTACACTGATGTCAGTTGTGAATAGTCATACAGAGTCGGAATCATTAACCAAGTATAATACGATTCAAGGTTCTGTGAGCTTGAGCTTGACCTTCAAGCTTGTGATTCTAGTTCAGGATTTACATCATTATAACTATTATCTTGTAACTTTCATGTTGATGCCACATATTCCAGCATTAATCGCAACACGTTAGTGAAGAGCAATCTCACAGGGGATGACTACTAGTATTTGAGCGGTTGCCATGGAACAGAAAATGGACACGATTTGCGATGATTGTACGAGAAGCCATACAGGAGAATAGACACACAGGCTGTTTATTATAGCCTAGGTCAATGGCACCTGGATGAGGCTCCCCGATTACTGAATGACTCCCAGAAAACGCAACACAATGCTGAAATTAAGATACAACTATAAAACTATAAAAACCAACGATTCGTGCGTTTTATTTCTATGTTCTTTAGAAACAAAATTAAAACTATAATTTCCAGATTTGATAGATTTTTTATATGTTGAATCTAATCATTTATGACAGGAACATTCAGTTCAACTATATTATATCGATGTCCTATGCCAAAAACATCAATGAATAAAACGTTATAACCAGTACAGGTAGGATTAAATAATTTACAAATAGGTTAAACCTATTTCAATGTAGATTTAAAAGTGAAGTTCCGGTCTTGTTCGTGCTACTTAATTAAACTGTAAGTGTTTATAGATTTTCAATGACATAGATATTCTTATGTTGTTTGTTATCAGAATCATTTTTGCGGTATTCTTCAGCAAATCATGTGCACACTACAGTATATATTTTTATCCTTTTTTTTTTCGTAAACACCTAATCAGATGACTTTTTGTATCAGAATCTTCAATATATAATGCCATTGTGCACCTCGTATTTAATTTTTATTTCAATTATTTTGGGGCTTTCCCTTACCCTAACATGGACTTTCCAAGAGCCTCGGGTATTATTTTGTGAGGTTTAATCTTTTCGCATATTACGGTATAAATCTATACTGGTTTTGTATGTACATGTGTTATATCTTTGTGTTTTAAGTGATTATATCTGGGTGGTTTTTTTTTTGTTTTTTTGTTTGTTGGTTTGTTTGGTTTTTTTTTTTGTATTTGACATTTATTAAATCTATGTGCAGAATTGAAGAGTCAGTATCCCTTTCTTTAGTACCTATAAAAACTACTATAAACCGGAAAAAACGAAAAGACATAGTAATCACTCCACATACAGTTATAACCAGGAAGTCATGTACATGTATATTGCAATATGTGATTTAAACTCGTGTATAAACAAAATAGCATAATAAAGTTTTTACTTTTGTCATTATACATTAAAGACCAGCGTCGTTGGCAACGAACGCGTTGTCACACACATAGACGAACATGATATTATGTCGTTGACATCAAAATGCGAGTCCCAAAATAACCAAGAATGCTATAATTGAAACAGATTTAACCATATAGATTTTGCTGACCCAATTTTGTCTATCATATATAAATTTAGTATATCCCCACAAGGTTTGCCATTAAGTTATGATACGACCGACCTTTGTTCGTTGTACTTTGCCAAAAGCATCTGTAATTTAAAAGATACAGCAGCAAGTAGAAGGAAAGAATATTTGAAAAATAAGCATGTTTTTATGAGGGTCTGAATGGCGTTTATAGAAAAAAGTAAAATAACAAAAATACCGAACTCCCAAGGAAAATTCGAAACGGAAACTCCCTTATCAAATAGCAAAAACAACTGTCATATTCCTGACTTGGTGCAGGAATAGAGAATAATGGGCGAAAAGTACATAATAATGGCAGACAAAATAAAGAATGGAGAAAAAAGGCAAAAAGATAAAAAGATAAAAAGATAAAGAAAAGATAATAATGGGATGATAGATATAAATAAAAGGAAAAAAAAAGACCCCAAAAAATAACAAATGTTGAACACAACCCCATCCCCACCGCTATAAATCAAAGATCATTTTTTATAGTTTTGGATGTGTATTTCATGTCTTGTATCCCCTTCCTTTATCCATTTGAACTGTACGGGTTTACAAAAACTATCATCTTAACGTGAAACCTGCATGGTATCTAATATTGATCCAATCCAAAAAGTAATGACAGGTATAGAGAAAACTGATGCAATAAAATAAGGAAGCAAGTGCTGTCTAACATTACAAAATAAAATGCATCGGAATAAAACAGATAAAAAATCCATTTTCATGGTTCTGTATGTTTGGCAATAAACTAGTTATATATAAAGTGTATCTATCGGTTGAGGATTAAATAATTGTATGACATACTAGTACTATAGTAATTACAATGTCTGTCACTCTCAGTTAAATGTGATTGTTTGCAAGAAATTACCCCATTTGATTTGCAAGTTTCCACTGCTTTATCAATCATCTGGTTAGTATATTTAACATGAAGGTACTGGTTTCAATAGAAAGGTATCTACCAGAATACTTCGAGCGCCACTGATTAGTGTTGTGTAAATGAAACGTGCACGAGGCGTAACAAACAAAATAAGCTTTGACGCCATACAATTGTCCAAAATTACGTATTTGACCTCATATCTTTTTTTGTAAACTGTTGCTCACGTCTAAATATTTATGACACGATCTAAAAATGAGACTATTTTGGCAGATATTGCTGTTTTACAATAAATGTAAGAAGTTTGAAACCCTAATGTCAATATGAAAGACCAAATTCAAAAATGTAAATGCTTATGTCTGACAGGCTAAATTTAAAAAAAATAATGTCTTATGAACATCTGAAGGTTGTTATTTGATAGATTTTTAATACTTTTTTATTTTCGAATTCAAGGGACGAAAAAAGTGGCTTTATCATACTTTCTCCTTGGTATTAACGGACCAACACTGGCTCATCTAACGGAACAAACATATCGATCAAAAGTTACTGACGTACTCAAGTCACGAGAAATACTTGCTTAGCACTAAGGGCCATTAGACTAGTATCGAACAATGTAAAAAGTCAATGGAACAATGATTTAGTGATATATATACTGTTTTATTATAGTTCGATCCGCCAATAGAAAGAACTAGGAAGTAAATGTGTATTTTGATAGGTATTCTACTCAGGTGCAAACTACAGGTACATACGGTTTGGATTTTAGTCACGATAAAACAGGTATTATATTATTTACTGTTAAAGTTCTCAATATTTTTATTGACTACAACCTATTCGTAAAAGTCTGCGTTCAAGGTAGACTTTGATAAAGTATAACATTTTGCTTACATTACATTTTATAGTAAAACTTAGCCATTTAAGTATATAAAACGTATTCAACTTCATTTTTAAGTTTGAAGTTTCATATGAATTTAATTAAAAGTTTGGGTATGATTGAATTATTATTTCACTGATCAAAACAATCGAGGAAAATTTTGATATACATGTAGATTAAAGGGCTTTGGAATGAATACAAAACTTGATAAATTTCGTGGGTCCTATCTTTTATGGATTTACATTTATAAGGAATGCTCAAACCTTTACATTTGAAAGTCAGAGATGTATAAAAAAAAAACATGATTCAACGATAGAAGCTATATGACGGTAACCTTATATAAGGAGAATAACCAAATACAGATGCACAACACATATTTCTGTTAAACACAAAACATATCACAACAACAGTTGTAAAATGTGTTTGTCTTACTCATGATGTTAACATTCGCAACTATTTAATAAGAGAAAGCATCTTATCGGATTATTTTAGTTCTTTTTTTTCATTTCGTACACCACTGGACGTTAAGCAGCCAACAATCAATCAATCATTTCGTACGAACTTAAACGATGCCTATTATCAAAATAAAACATTGTGAAAATTAACATTTAGATTATGAAGTATAAATACATATTCGGAAAGAATGCAATTTTATATTTGTGTATTTGATTTTTGATACGCAGAAACATTAGCAGCTTTATGACCAAAAAGGGATCTAAATGGAGTAGCTACTCTTTGTCACACATAGTGTATTATGTTTCCTTTACATATAATAAATATATTTAGGTCAAGTGCACATTGACTATTATATAAGTAAAATGAAATGGTTTTTCTATTTTTATAAATATACAGTATTTGATTTGCCTTTTCAAGATCCACTTAGCTCTCTCGGTCCACCAATAGAAATACCGAATAAAAATAAAACAAGGAAGTCTAGTTTGTATACATTTAACTATAGATAATATACAACTTATTCAGTTTGGGTTTAAATATCAGACAGGACACAGGTATGTACATTTTCATTCCAACTTTATAATAATGACGGGCTACAAAAATATCAAACGAATTTATTGACTGCATCATGATGTAATTTTTTATATAGTTAATAGTAGCCTTTAACGTTCAAAGTATCCAAGACGGATTTAGGGAGAATTATATATATATACACTAGTATATAAATGGTTAAAGCATAGACTTTTTACCTATCCCAATCCTAACGTTCCCTAGTCTCCCCCTTTTTTTCCAAAATTTTGGTTACGTATGTGAGTATTACATGTAGTTACTGCATTTTGAAATGATATCAGGTTAGATATACACACTTTAAAATACAAGGTTAGTTATGTGAGGATAAATGAACAACAATGTATTCATAGCATGTTTTAAGTATTTATTTTTTTGTGTTGTTTTTACAATGTTACTTACATAATGAAATTTTATGATACAGTTTGATTGTTCAGCACTACATTGATATATCAATAAAAGGTTATATATAACTACATTCACCATCTTATGGACGAGAGGAGACGTAAATATGATAACTCAGATTTCACAAGAACCAATGAGGTCCGTGAGATATGCAAGATGTGGACATTAAATTGCCCCATATATATGTAAAATCACAACAATATAAGACTAGTGTGAAGCTATTTTATTCCCATTTAAGAAGTATATAAACATTTGGCTTTTCTTACATTAGCATAAATATTCTTCATTTTAATTTAATAAAATAGATTTATAATATGAGTTTAAAACTGTTTCATACAAAATGGCAAACGCAAATATAACTACCTTGTTTGACGGTAGGGAAAAATCAAAATTTTAATAAATTCTTATTTGAACAAACAGTTCATTGAGACTTGCAACATTAAGATGTTTGATATCTTTATTGACAATATATCAAATACATTTGTCGGACGGTTTATTTTTCCAGACGGCCGGCATCATTTGTTTTTGCAATGTGTTTATTCGCAAAATTAATATAATATATTAAAATTACGGCTGCAAAATCAATCCTTGGCAAAATCAAGACAAAACATATAGTTGTTTCTTTGAATCATTTGACAAACTTATAAATATATATTCCTGGACTCATCTTTTTGTTCACTTGTTATTTTATACGTACGAGACGCATATCGTAATGGAGGGAGAACATACAAAGACATATCAGCTGTATCGGACATTCTTTTTAAATGAAAATTTAGTGCCGATTTGTTTGCCTTATCCAAAGACAAAACGATTTTAATACATAAATCCTGTCCAATAACTGTGACGACTGATTAACAATATAAACAGCGGCTTAATTGATTAAAAACTCAAATAAAATAGGTATATATAGGAACTGTGAATACAACTTACTGTACAGGGCAAAGTTCTTTCGTTTATGATATCTGTATAAAGCCATACTTATGTTTCCACTTCTACATGAATAGGAGAATTAAGAAACGGAAGTCAACCTTTAAGAATTTGTAAAACAGACCAGGAAGTCTAACTTTGTATTGAATTTCAGATTTGTGTCTATGCAATAGTGTGCAAGTAAATTTAATTACTAATACTTGAATAATTTAAGTTTTGCTTTTGCGGGTTTTTGAAGTTGTCAGTATGTTCAATGTATTTTTTGTCTTTTACAGATACAGGGAATTAGTTATGAACATGCATCTATTGTCATTGTTCGTGGTACTTCTTCAGCTAGTACTCCTTGTGTCAGGTCGTTGTTCGGATTCAACTGCCACCAATATCGTTATGTCCAACCTTGGTATAACGGAAATCGACGAGTCATTGTTCGAAGACTGTAATCCACAAGCTATAAGTATTGACCTGTCTGGAAACCAAATTACACATATAAATGCAACTGCGTTTGCATCCTATGATGGGGGACTTAGTCAGAAGTATATTCCTTTGTTTTACCAACTGAAAACATTAAATTTGAATGATAATCAAATCAACTCAATAGACCCGAATGCCTTCAAATATACAAAAGTTCTGGAGACACTGAACATGAAGAACAATCAGCTCCAGTCATTAGAATCTGAGGTCTTTGATCCTATAGGCGATACATTGGTCACCTTGGTGGTGTCAAGTAATCAAATAGCATCCATTGGCATGTCGATGTTTAGTACCAACCTAAAAACACTTCGTAATGTTGACCTTTCATACAATAAAATGACTTATATGGAAGCATGGCCGTATATTCCACCTTCTATCATAACATTTAATCTTAGTTATAACGACGTGAATGAATTTACCAATCGTCTAAACTGGACGTATGACCTGCAGGAACCTTATCATGCCTACGTTGATTTAAGATACAATAAATTTGCAAGATGGGACGATGAGTGGTTCAGGAGATACCAAAAACCAAACGGTGATTTTGTAGGCGACTTTGTAACCTATCGGCTGGACATTACGAAAAATAACTGGACATGCGATTGCCATATGCACTACATGGCATCAAAGATTCAGGACTCTTTTTATAGGTATGCAGAATCAGAACTTTTACATGTTGAATGTGGAAGTCCGCCCAATCTTAGTGGACAACGTCTCATGAACGTAGACCTTAACGAGTTTAATTGTGACGTCGTAAACTGTTCATTTGGATGCAAGTGTACAAATATATCCGAAACTAAAATTTTGCAAGTAGATTGTATGAATGGAAATTTAATTATGCTACCAATGAAACTACCAGACATTCCAGATAGAACTATTACATTGGACGTTTCTAATAACAGTATTTGGAAAATAGATCCAAGACCATATGTTGACCAACTCGTGAAACTAAATGCAGCGAATAATAAACTTGTGTTTATTGATCAAGAAACTGTCAAAAATATGACGCAATCAAAGTTGTCAATGAACATATCGAACAATAATCTCAATTTTTTACCAAACTCTATTCAAAATGTACAATCCATTTCCATCTATAACAATCCATTTATTTGTGACTGTAATATGACATGGATGAAAGGATGGCTTGAACTGGATTCTATAGTAGAACCTGATAAGTCCGTTACATGTAAAACAACAGAAGGAGACGTCCATAAGATAGTTGACGTCACAGAGAGCCTACTTGACTGTAATTATGATACCGAAATCGGTTTGGCCGTTGGTTTTGGTATCCTGCTAATTCTTGTGGTGATAGGAATCGTTTGGGCTAAGCGATGTCCATATGAGACAAAAGTCCTGGTTTTTAAGTTTTTTAGAATCCATCCTAGTGATAAATATAAGATTGACGAAGAAGTTAAATCTTACGATGCCTACATTTCATTTGATGATGAAAACATACACATACGGCAATGGGTGACAAGAAAACTGAAGAAACGGTTAGAGGAGAAGAAACAGGAACTGTTTATACCGGTCATTAACTTACAAATTGGAGAAGAAAAGGCAGACCAGATTGTGAAATCTATGGAAAACAGTAAAAGAGTGATCATCATACTTTCAGACAAATACGATGAAAATGAATGGAGCGTTTTTGAATGTCAACAGGCGGAAATGCTGAATCCTAATGATGGTAGAATTATTTTCATAAAATATCACCCAGAAGCTGAAGACATGGTGCAAAAAGAACCATGGAAATCTCGTGTAAAGGATAGAAAAGTTTTAGCAATAGGCGAAAAATCTAGTGAACATCGATGGTTTTGGGACAAACTTAAATATGAACTTCCGGTGAAATAATTCGTCATTACCGTTATGATATTAAACAAATTCTAGTCATTGTGGGAATTTTTGCCAGCAGAGTTAATTGTGCGATTTATTTGCCAGCCGAGTTTGTTCTGTGTCTTAAGTTCGTAAAAGTCGAATAAAACGGCGTATTGAAAGACAAATACTGCTTCAGCTATATATCTGTACGGAATGAATTTTTAGTTTCTGACATTTATATAAGTTATTGTAAAGAAGAACCACGAAATCATAAAAATACAGATATATATATTCAAAAAATTTATTGGTGGTCAGAAGGACATGAAATTAATGATTGTAAGATTTTTGGTGTTTTACGCCACTTTCGGCACTCATGGCTATATCGTGGTTTTTATTGGTGGAGAAAGCCGGAGTTCCCTAGTATATATTACAGGTTCATTATATATTACATTATACCGTGTCGTCAGTGCCATAAATAACTCATTGTGTCGATATCATGTGTTTGAAATTAAAATGTTATGTTCCAATTAAACCAATCTTATTTACTGTCGCCTCACTTCTATTCCAAGAAAAGGCGAGAGGGAACAATATTCACTACTTAAATTATTATTTTTATCAGCATATCAAGCACTTCAGGCTATCAAGGAAAATATATACGACAACGGTAAAATCAAAATAAATAGATATATAAAAAATACGGTTTAAATTGGATATAGAAGCTAAAAAATATATTTAAGTTGGAAAGCGCAAGTCATTTTAATTTGGTTTCGGGGTTCGGTAGTCCATTCTGTTTTCCAGTGACTTAAATAGGTCATATGGTCAAAGAAAATTACACGAATTTATATACACTCATCAAAAATACCTGACTTATTATTTGGTACACAAGACGCGTGTTTCTTCTACAAACGAGTCATCAGTGGCGCTCGAATCAAAACAATTGGAAGGCCAAATCAAATACGAAGTTGAAAAGCATTAAACACTCCAAATTCTAAAAAGATATGCCAAATATGACTAATGTAATCTATGCCTGGGAGTATGCTGGATGAAATACATTAAAACCAACACCCCATGTTGAGAGAGAGCCACGCCCTTTACACGTTTAGGAACACTTGCAACAACTCTATGATGGATCCGTCGATGGCATATTTTTTTTCTTTATCAAACATTCCTTTTTTTCAGTTACAGTCCCAATTTTCAACCGTTCATCAGAGGTCGACCAACTTTTTCTGCAGTACCTACTTGTCTGATATATTGTTTAATTCGTTTTTGTCCTTTACATGCATGATATGTTTGCCACTGGAGGTGAAGCAAAGGTCAATCAATCTCATTGGTTGTAGACACAGATTTATGATTTACTTGGTACATTCAGGGCACTGAAGGTTCTGGTCAAGAAGAATTCCACGAAAAACCTCCAAATTTGGAGGAAAACTAAGGAAAATTCTACGAACCATGAAAAATTGCGATATTTGGTCCCTTTGGGTCCTTATTGCTTGCGTCAAACGGTTAAACCTACCACAAATTTCATTGAAAAGTACAGACATAAGTTTTGCAGAGGGAACTTATAGCAAAATTTGCACCGTAATCGGAGTAAATAAGTTGTAACTGTTGGTATGACTGCATTTATGTTTATTTACACTGGATACTTAAAAACTTTATATCAAATCTGTTTAAATACAGAAATAGGAATGTTGTGATGAAATTATATAGGGATTGGTAAGGAATAACTAGAGTTAGCGTGAAAAAAATAATTGTATTGCACCAGATGCACATTTCGACAATTAATGCATCAGTGATGCTCGAGGCCAAATATTTGAAAGTCCAAAACCTAAAACAAATGTTGAGGAAATGATAAAACCAAAAAGGACATTAAGTAAAGCTAAACCAAAGGAATCAGAGCTATATATGCATGGGGGAATTACATTCTTTAATTTGAAATGATAGCGAAATTTGATTATAGCAAATACAAATAGAACAATCAACGTATTTTCATTCCAGTACCGAAGTTGCTCATCTTCTGTTGTATTAAATTCCTCATCTGTTGTCACCTTCCTCAATTTATTTTTAATATTATTAATATAAGAACCTGCACCACTTATGCTTTAAAATTATGTGTTTTTCTAAATAATTTTCTTATGTTTTTTTTTCAAAATCTAATTTATTATCTAGTTGAAATAGTACCAAAGCTCAAAACAAGAATCATACAGGATGCGTTGAAAAAGTTGTTATCTCCTATACTTTACATGTATTGCACGCCAAACGACATTCAGTAGGAAGGGCTTGAACTCTGAACGGAGTGAGAGAAGGTTCGTTAAAAAGGTAATTGTATCCTGCTAAACATGCATTGTCAGCCAGATGATATCCAGTAGCAAGTGTCAAAAGTAGAAAATGACAAAACTGGTAACAGATTCAAATGTACGATAGTTGCATGCGGGATCTATGACGGAATTAAAATATATGAAACGAGGAAAACAGTACAGAAGGATGGCTTGACACTAAACGACTTCGGAACGTATTTTCTGCATACTGTAAAACATATTCATTGACAGTCAACAAAGTCATTACGATAGTGAGCAATTAGTAACTTTTGGTTCAGTTGCTCGTTGTAACCCTCAATCTCAAATGAAAACTATATATTACAAGAAAAATAAGAAGCATACACTTCAAGCAAACAGAAAATTAAGGTTTCTGTCATGCATTTCTATTGGTACAATGTATGTTCAATAGTGTGAAATATTCCATTGGAAAATTGTGATTTAAACCAGCCGTCTTTGTTATAAAATAAACGCGGAAGTTTTCGAAGTGCAGGTAAATACTGGTGCAAATCGATTTCAACTTAAAATGAAAGTGATAAGGTGATTGCAGTAGTAAAAGTCTTTGTTCACTTTGTTTGAAATACTACGTTATTGTAGTAAACAAAGAACAAAGCTTATATATATATACATATAATAATGAAATATGATAAGAGCAAAGATTAAATTTATCCGGATTAGGTGACTTTTCTTCCTGCAGACTGCTGCTACCTTAAGCTTGTGAGCTAGCACATCAAATAATCTGTCTCAGCCTGTCCGTCTAGTACAAATTAGAGTACATTCATAATCATGAAGTCCTATAAATGCATGTTATATTTGTCGCTGGGTGTTAACCATCCGATTGTCCATAATAATACATTGTGTAAATATAACTATGATATTAATCGTCCTGAACTAAAAAAAAATTTTAAAAGCCAAGCGTACTAATTTTTATATTTAATGCATTTCCAAATTTCCAATGACTGAACCTTACTAATCTTACCCTTGTTGCCATCCATGCATTGTTACTAAGTACACGTGAAAAGAAGATACTTTGGATAAAAGAGGCGGAAGATACCAAGGGGACATTCAACTCTATATCGCAGGGAAACTGGCAACGCCATGGCAACAAATAAACACTAGACGATGAAAAGACAAACAAGTGCACAAAACAATACACAAACAATCAAACACTAAGCTTGAAAACTTAGAAGGAAAATTCAAACAAATTCATTTTGACGAGGAGTTTTAAATGCGTACTACGGCTAAGTTATTATAAACGGATTAATTTTATCTGTACAGAAATCGTTCACTTGGTTGTTTGTTGGTGTTTAACGCCACTTGGCTATATCATGGCGGTCAGATTTTATTAGTGGTGGAAGCAAGTGTGCCCGGCGGAGAGATTCTCAGACCTTCGGCAATCATTGTCTGTTCACACCGAACACACCTCGCCTCGAGGTTTGAACTCACAACTTACATGTTGTTTTAATCATGTTATGATTAATCGATAGTCAATGTAGACTTTGTGTGGGTTAAGTGTATATAAAACTAGATATTCAGGTAGTGAGTTTTAGTATTAATATGTAATGAAAACACATCTATGAAATAAAAATGATAATAGTCATATTATGAATAAAGTTATATACCAATTTATTTGTCAAAAACTCAAATTATTGATCAGTTATTAAAGACAATTAAATAGCCTTACTAGCCCCTTTTCAGACTCAATACGATCATCATACACATCAATCATTTGAAATTGTCTTCTCGAATTGAGAGGACTTGTTCATCAATTAGGGATTGAATACATTTATGGTTGTTTGATTGATTGGTTATTGTTTTCTTTAGTTCAATGGCAATAATTTCATGCATGTTCAGGATGAAAACCAATTAACAATTGATACAATAGGTAGGTCCTACAATAGGAGGTCAACCTGGATTGAAGGGGGAATTTAAAATGATACTGGGAAATAAGGATATCATAAAATACAGAATTTAAGACTTGCAACAGGCTACATACGAATCCCTTAAAGAGTTGCAAAGGTTCATAACTGCAGAGAGCGTGATACTCTCTCTACACGAGGCAATGGATTTAACTCTCATTATGACCGGACATGACTGTGCATTTATACATCCCGCACAGCCAAACGAACGATCGTCAAACTATGGCTAGGGTTTTACTGTTGAAAGGAGACCAAGGGATGAACATATTCCTATACTCCAGTCAACCCTTGTGATTAATAAAGGGATGAAAGCAGAACCAATTTTATAGTTTGTACAGAAAAAAAGAAAAATAAGGGGGCAACTTTGACGTTCTCAAAACGATATCACCATATTTTGGCAGAAAATTCTGTCAGTAAGTTTCGAGTTGCTCCGATAGCACCAACAAGTTGCTGTAAAAAGATATACTAAGTATGCTCTTTATTTTTAAGGTTAGATCTAATTGTATGTAAATAGTTCATAGCACTTGTTCATTGAATGACGGTTGGTGTGGTGATGTTCTAGTCTTGCATATCTGTAGCAATTCGCAATAGCCTCCTACCAGATTCACATCCGTTTTTTCCTCGGTCTGTGTGGAGTTCTATTAAACAAGAAGTTATCAACAATGGTATTTGCTACAACCTGAGCTGTCTGTGTTGCAATCAGGAAACGCTCCAACTACTGCGTGTATTGGTTAATTATTAGTATCAAGTATTTATTTTCTAATTTGTTGAACGGAAGAGGCTTTAAGATGTCAACCTGGATGCGCTGAAGTTGAAAACAATCGTTGTATTGCTCTAGTTTATTTCTAGGGGCGCTTGCTGGCTTCTTGTTTATGTTGTTTTCAACAAGTGATTTCAAATACATTTTGCAGTATAGGGTTATATTGAACCACTTAGCTATTTGCTTATATAATTACTATATTGAAGCCTTAATTAAGATCGTTCATATTCAAATTCGTTCCATTTCTACAATGTCTCTAAATCTAAGTCTTTAAAATCTACTTCTTGCAATTCTTTTTAGGAATAGAATGGTAACCAGTTTGAGTTGTATACACCTTCTGCGTTAGCTCTTCTGAGGGTTGAAGGAACAACACACTCTACTTTTTCAAAGGTTTTCCATTGTTCACGTGCTATTGTACAGAACTCGCAACCTTCACAATGTAACTCTTTTTTAAAAGTTAACATCCGATCTATACGACGTATCTTTACTGTACGACTCAATTTCGCCAAGTACTTTGGACGTTTGTTACTTTCCATCTCTG